TTCAATAAAAGTTTATTGGGACCAACTTTCGATGAAATAATTTAAATAATTACTATTATTATGACATCAAAGCCTTAAAAAATATATATTTATTTAATTCCTTATAATTAACATTAATGAATTTTAGTTTAACCATCACACATCGAGTTTTACGGATAAAAAGGACCATTTTGGTGACATTGCAAAAACAGAAAAGACATTTATACTTATTTCATTTTTAAGAATATAAAATTTAAAAAAATAAAAAATAAAAACTATTTAATATCCTAATTATTTATAATGTTCAAATGTTGAACGTTGTAATATAAAATTAAAAAAGGGAAGCATATTATATTATTTTGGCTCTTAAGGTCATTTACTTTTCATTCTTTATTTCTTTAATTTTCCTTTATAATATGATCGGATATGAAATAAATTTGTATCCGAACGAGCAATGTCAATATTTAGCTCTGATACTATTTGTAATAGAATTGTTATTCAAATCCCAACCTAGAACGTCAAAAAGTTGGAAGTGGCAAGCAAGGAGACTCCAACTGACCCAATCTCTTTCTCTCTCTTCTGCAACTATTTGATCATCTCCACAAGGTTCCAAAGATAAAGAAAGAATAATGGAAAGCAAGAATTTTTAGGTGTGATTATGATGATCTACTTCTCCAATCCCATGGACTCATGAATATGATCACTCAAGCACCACAGCCCCTACAACCAACAACCCTAATCTTTTTCTTAATGGCTCTCTCTTCTTCTTTTCTCCCTTCATACAAACCCCTACTCTTCCATGGCCCCCAAAATTAGCCACCTTTCTCCACCTATTTCCCTCCCTCCATGGCGCCCTCCCCTCACCAAAACATCCCCTTACTTCTCCAACCCCTCGCCTCTCCGGGTCGCCGCCCATGACAATGCTTCCTGCCCATACCCCTCTCTCCCAACTCCGTCCATCCGCCGGCTGCGGCGCCGACCATCTCATGAATGCTGCTCCTCCGCCTATTTCTGAAAATTATTACTATTACTATTCTCATCCTTATCTAATTCCTCTTCCTCCTCCCATGGCGGATGATGACTCCACAACTAACAGTTTTAATGAAGAACCCCCTTTTAATAGAGATGATGGGTGGCTTCAATTAAGTATCGGCCGCGGGAGACCTCCAACAACCTCCAATTTGGTCGAGCTAGATCTATTACCCGGCGGAGGAGGTGACAACCCCGCCGCCACCGCCACCGCCACCGCCACCACCAGCCGGGATTTCTTAACCCCTGAAGCTGCTACGACAGCTCGGTCGGAGACGGGAATGCAGTTGTTTTTTGGAACTCCTACCTCTTCCAACTTTGTACAGCAAGAGATCAATTGGGCATTCAGGCCGATATCGGCTGCGTCGTCGTCTTCTTCCTTTCTACCGGTTGGCGGTCGGCGGAGTTCTTACTTAGGTGGGCCGTTTATCCAATTCCAAAGCTCCGGGGTTCAGGCCGGCGGTGCCGGGCCGAGCTCCGACGTCAGAATCATAAATCCTCCCCGGCGGCCCCATTCTGGTATTTGGTTTACATTAAAAGCCTTAGAAAATCAGTAAGTAAAAAAAATAAAAATAAAAAACAAAAAGATTTCTCCTTAATCTTGTTCTTAATTACATATCATAATCAAATTGTTCTCTAAGCCTTTGAATTTCTGGGTTTTGTTAATGCAGATCAAAACAACCATTCTTGCCTCAGATTTCAAAAAATTATCTCAGAATCAAGTGAGTTTTTTTCTCTTTTTAATTAAATAACTTTATTTATTTATTTTTCTTCCCTTTGACTTTCTCTCTTTTTTTATTTTTATTTTTTGAATGTATAGGGATGAAAAGATGACGGTTCGTTTGGTGATGAAATATTTGGTTTCCAAGCTGCATCTGGAGAGCGAATCAGAGGTATTTCTTAATTTCTTTATTATCATAATTAACACAAATTAAATTTAATTAACTAATAATAATCCATTAATTAGTTAATGAATATTAAGAACCAAATATTTATAAGTCTTTAGCTTTAAGAATGCTAGCTTGCTTGTCTCTTTTAATGTTAGCTTTTAAGGTTTCCATGTTTTTTATTTATTTTTTTTATAGCATTTCTTGGACCAGAAGACTGTGTTTTAATGTTGTATACATATTTAATTTTTTAAATCTTGATCAAATTTAAAAATTAAAAAAAAATTACAATAATGAACTTCCTAATTTGGTAGCTTGTCATATGTCATTCATTTAATATTTATTCACCGAGTTATTAATTTGGAAATAAAAGAAATAGGATAGTTTACCATTATGTCAATTTATTTCTTAAAAAGAAGGGAAAATAAAAACCTATAAATACTACAATTAGAGAGAATTAAATGCATTTAGTAAATCAAAGTTGAAAGTACAAATAAGAATTTAATAGACTATGATTGCTAAAATGTTATTTATTTATTTATTTTAAAAAAATTATGATTGCTTGCATTATAAAAAGTACTGGTTAACATGGATGAATTAATAACTCAAATTATTCATAGTAATTATATAGATATGTAATTTCATAAAAACATTATTTCCAACCCTAATCATTTTGCTTTTCAACCTCACACTTAATTATGTAATATCATAGTTCTTCACTAATTATTATTAACAAAAATTCTTTTTTTAATAAAAAAAATTATACCCAAAAACCTATATATATGATAATATGGAAAAAAGTAGTATTGGCTTAGCATAGGGTGTTTTTGGAGAGACATTGATATAGAATTTGATTAAATTAAGAAAAATGAGGTGTTAAATGGAGAAAACGACACGTGGACCCGAGAATGGTATTATAATACATGGAGTTTGTGTCGTCATGCTTGGGAGCGATTTAGGTCAGCAAGGGAATTGTTGGGGATTTTGATTTTTTAATTTTTGTAAAGAAGATATTATGTTGGAAGGTAGGGCCATTGATTGATATTCAAATGCCTCATCAAAACCCTTTTCTCTTTAAGTGCTGCACTTTTGATGTTTACATATCCATACCACCAACCACATTACAACCCTAATTCTCCTATTTATCCACCTTTATTCAAAACATATATATATATATATATTTTAAAGAAATGGTTAGTTTTTGGTAAATTTGATGTTGTAAAAATAATTCTTTTCATACATAGTCTATCATGAATGATTTCATCCCACTTCATCATTTTTTTGTTTTATGATATTTATACTATAAAGTTTGAAACTTTATTTTATTTTTTGTATGTCAGAATGGTGATCATATTTTTTCATCTTTTGTAATAATTACCCCTCTGAACCAAAATAATACACATAGGTAAAAAAAAAAATATATATTTACTTTTGAAATCATCTCTAAAAGAAACAATCCATCATTGTGTAAATAAAAGAATACTCTACTTTTGTGCATATTTTTAATTCCTTCAAAAATAGATTTTTTAAAAGGAAATATTGTTGTGCATGAAAATGAAGAGGATAATGTGTGGAACAGAATGATTCCAAGTGGTTGAAAAAAAGGGAAAAAAAGAAAATTAAGGATAAAAGGACAGATCAGAGGGTTTGACAATGATTGGATAGAGAGATGTATATAGGGCGGCTGGGTGAATAAAAACTATATAATAAACTTAAACAATATGTATTGACCTTAATAAAATAATAAAATAGGGTTTCCTGTTGTAACGTGGAGGCGAAATGTGTGTGTTTTGGTTTTATAATAAAGTTTTATTTCTTCTTATTCATGGGCGAGCATTATGGGTAGCTGAATTGAATTTAATTGAATTGAATTTAATTGAATTGAATTTAATTATAATAATAAAGTATAAAGTATTAAAGTATAAAGGGATGATTGTTATGATGAGATTTTGGCTTAGGAGCAAAGTCTTGTTTGGGTCCCATAATGATTAATGATCTTTTTGCCAGTTCTTGAATGATATTGGGTACCCTCTCCTTTCAATCTATTATATCTTTCCCACTACTTCAACGCTCTCTTTTGCTCTTTTCTTTTCATATTCTTGTTAGGGAAGTTCTTGTTTAACTCCTCACTTTTCCTTTTGATACAACCACTTCTTCACCTAATCCATACCTTATGCGCTTCCATCCCTCTACGAAACCATGATTCAAGCCGCGTAGAGTTTGATAAGACTTTTAGAATAACACAACATGGTAACACACGGTTAGAGTTTAATTCTATTATAGTTCTAAAATCTTGGTCATCTTCCTATGGCTTCACGACCTGACCCACCTTAATAGAGTTTACAATCCAACCCACTCCTACTTTTAAAAGGGTTAAGAATGTTTAACGTTTGTAACCGATGTTAATGATACGTTGTGACCTGTAGATCAACCTGACCAGCCATGTCCAGGGTTGGGTTGTAAACTCTATTAAGGTGGCTCGAGTTACCAATTCAATCAACCTAAGATTTCGAGTTGGTTGGTCCAAACGAACTTGTGTATACCCTAATTTTATTTCGTGTAGTACGTATATGTGGTTAAATAATGGGTGATTTGCATGGGTTGCAGATAGAGATAAGATGTAGAGGGCAAGAAGTGGAACCATTTTGGACATTGCAGCATGTAAGAGATAGCATTTGGACAGCTTCTTCTTCATCATCAGACTCACTCTTCACTTTGCTTCCTCACTCCTCACCCACACATCATCTAATGCTCCTTCACTATGGGAGAAAGCCTTAATCATTCCCCTTCCCCCTTCTCTAACTTTTCTTTTTTTCTTATATGTTTTTGTTCTAAGATTTTATTTATTTACGTGTATTCTTAATATTTTTATCTTACCCAATTTGATCGAACCAGTGACTTACGAATAAAATAGAGGTCATATGGTGATATGCCACATGCATTTCGACACTCGAGAATTGTTTCTTATTCCAATGCATTCCTTATTGGTTGTGGTCGAGGACAAGACGAGCATTAGGGTCATGGATCATTGAAAGCACGTGGTGAAAAGAAAAAACAACGAGAACCCCACCGATGGGGCGTTTGTTAAGTGGTCATTTCATGAGGACAACCATACTCTGAAAATGGAATTTACTTTGGACAAAAGCTTCTTTCTTTTACATCATCAACAAGACAGGACAGGTCAACACCTCCTTACAGTAATAAGCTTCTTCTTCTTCTTCTTCTTCTTCTTTTAATGATTGAAATTAAGTAACAAAGATAAACACCTAATGAAATGGATTTGTTTTTAGAAGCTGTGCAATTGGGTTAGCATGTGTACCAACTCATCACTTGAAGGTCTGTCCGCTGGCTCATCTGATAAGCACACTACAGCTATCCTCACTGCCATTACCATTTCATCTTCTTCCCCTTCTTCTCCTGTGATACTCTTGTCCAGTGCTTCTCGAGCCTCCCCCGCCAGCTGCAACTGTTGTAGCCACTGTCCTAAGCTCCCTCCACTCCCTGCTTCTCTGAAGAATGCATCTGCTGGATCTCTGCCTGTTAGTAGGACAGCCAGTATCATCCCGAAGCTGAAGATGTCGCTCTTGTCGCTGTACCTGTCAAAACTGGAAACGACAAACGTCGAATCTGCTTAGAACTGCTGTTCGAGGAAATGCTCATCAATGAAGATGCTTGTAACAGCCCAAATACACTCGTACAAATACACTCCTAGCAAATATAGTTCGTTTTGACTCGTTATGTATAGCCTCCCCATAGTTTTAAAATGGGGCTGCTAGGGAGAGGTTTCCACCCCCCTTGAGGGCCCAACGTCCTCGTTGGCACACCGCTCGTTGTCTAACTCTAATACCATTTGTAACAACCCAATCTCACTTCTAGCTGATATTGTCCGTTTTGGCCCGATATATATTGCTGTCAGCCTCACGGTTTCAAAACATGTGAACTAGGGAGAGGTTTCCACACCCTTATAAGGAATGTCTCGTTCTCCTCTTCAACTGATGTGGGATCTCACAATCCACACCACTTGAGGGCCCAACGTCCTCACTAGCACACCCGTTTCAAAAATGGTGCTTGACTCTCATACCATTTGTAACAACTCAAGCCAATTGCTAGCAGATATTGTCCGTTTTTACCCGTTACGTATCGTCTCAGCCTCACGGTTTTAAAACGCATATGCCAGGGAGAGGTTTCTACACCCTTATATAGAATGTTTCGTTCTCCTCTACAACCGACGTGGGATCTCACGCTTCTAAACCGAGTAAAACAGAGAATACTGAACATCCCAAAGTTCATTGATTCACAAGAAGACTACTAAAACCATATTCTTTCCTAAGAAGATATATAAAAGATCAAGTACTAGAACCATTTCTTGTTCAGTTGTTCACAAGTTTAGCAATAATTTAAGCCTTACAAACTTGAACAAATCATTATCAAATAGACTTGAAGGTTTTAGAATCCAAACCTGCAGTCGTGGAAGCACTCAGGGGAGGTATAGGCAGAGGTAGCAGCCATATCCAACTTGGAGAATAGCTTAGCCAAGCCGCAATCACCCAACCTGGGTTCAAACTCAGCATCCAACATCACATTGGAAGGCTTCAAACTGTAGTGAAGAATGTGAGGATCACACTCAAAGTGAAGATACTGAAGCCCTTTTATAACCCCAACAGCAATTCCAAGCCTCACTTCCCAACCCAACCTCACCTCATTATCTCTAACTCTTTTCATCACATCCTCAAGGCTCCCTGTTCCCACATAATCATAAACCAACCACACCCCTTCCCCTTCCCCAACATAAGCCCTTAAGCTCATCAAATTCCTATGCCTCAACCTAGCTAGCCTCTCTAGCTGCTGCTGTGACTGCCTCTTCTCCGACTTCCTCGCTGCCGTGTTCGTGAACCCCTCGAGCCGCTTTACGGCTATGGTCAGCCCATTGTCCAGAACTGTCCTGTAGTACTTTCCATGAGGGTTGGAACCCAGAAGCTGATTTTCGTTTCTGAGGGCGAGATGGAGTGTTTTGGGGTGGATAATGGGGGAGAATATAACAGGGCCTTTCAGAATTGGGGTTTTGTTAAGGTATCTGACGAAGCTGCGGATTAAACAAGCGAAAAGAAGGGCACCCATTAACCCTGTTGCTACGCCCAACAGCACGCTGAGGATGATTCTTCGAACGCCATTTTTAAACGGCGGAGCGATTATTGGCGTTGGTGATGTTGATGATGTTGGAAATGGCCCTGAGGAAGCGAGGTGCTGGGTTGTTCTTCCCTGGCATTTAGCATCGGAAGAATGGTGTAATGAGATTACCAATAGCAAAAGGATGATAACCTTAACGCTGGGTTCTTTCGAGTTCTTCCCCATTTGTAGAGCAAAATTTCCAACAAGGATTGAATGGCTACATATTTCTACGCTCGAACTTTGTCGGCCCACAGTCAAATCTCGAACGAATCATTGAAATTGAGAATCCGGTGGACTCGGCATTGAATAAACAAGAGTGAAGGTTGTTGAGTAGAAGGTTTTTGCATCAAGAAAAGCTCAGAAACAGAGAGACCCAGAAAGAAAAACGACGAAAAGGAGGGAAGACGGGTGTATAAATGGAAGGTTCCAGGTACCCAAATGAAAGAATTGACTCAAAAACTCAAATAACCAGAAGAAGAAGGAAGAGAAACAGACAAAAAAAAAAAAAAAAAAAAAAAAAAAAAAAAAAAAAAAAAAAAAAAAAAA